GTGCGGACTGCCTTCAAAAAAGCAAAGGACTCCAGGATCGACTCTGACTAGCACCTCTATAAGAGGAAGCTGTCAGTTTTTAAAAAAACCATTCGTCGAAAAAAGCGAGAAGTATGGAAGAACTTCTATGACGAAATTACTTCCTCTGCAGAGGTCTCCCGCCTAAAAAAGGTGCTTGCTTCGAGCCCTGTTCAACGTATTGGTATACTAAAGAAGGAAGACGATTCTTATACCGACAACCTTCAAGACAGTTTACAGCTTTTAATGACTGTTCATTTCTCAGGTTCGGACAACTTTAACGATACCCAACAAGAGATAATTCATGTACCAACTGCGGATGAAAGGCTCTTGGCCAAACTCATCTGCGACGAGGAGAAAATACGGTGCGCTGTGAATACGTTCTCGCCGTTCAAAACTCCAGGACCGGACGGGATTACACCGGCCCTCTTACACTGGATGACCTGGTACCGCACCTGAAGAGTATTTTCCAGGGATGTCTGGCGTTTCGCTATGTACCGGGAAGTTGGCGTGAAGTCGCGGTCAACTTTATACCTAAACCGGGTAAGCAAGATTACTTCCTTCCGAAGTCCTATAGACCAATTAGCCTCTCCTCCTTTCCACTGAAAACGTTGGAGAGGCTTTGCGACCATTACATTAGAGACTCTTGTCTGCGCAGCAGGCCACTAGACTCTAATCAACATGCTTACACCCAGGGAAGGTCCACGCCGACGGCTCTTCACTCAGTGATCAGTTTCGTCGGTGGTGCGCTGGACCACAAGGAGTCCGCCCTCGGGGTTTTTATTGACGTGGAAGGAGCTTTTCATAAAACTACCTTCTCCGGAATTAACGACACCTTGCTAGAGCATAACGTTCCTCTGGCCCTGTGCGGCTGGATTGAGAGTACTCTAAGACATAGGGTCGTCAAATTAAGGGCTGGCCAGGCCACTCTTCAAGGGGCTGTTACTAGAGGCTGCCGGCAAGGGGGAGTACTTTCTCCACTTTTGTGGAATCTCACCCTCGATAGCCTCATGAAACGCCTAAACCTAGCCGGTTTTAAAACCGTTGGCTACGCAGATGATCTGACAATCCTCATAAGAGGCAAGTATGCTAACGTACTCCTCGACAGGATGCAGGAAGCACTCAATCTAATTGAGAACTGGTGTAATAAACAATGCCTCTTCGTCAATCCTAAGAGGATAGAGATGGATCTTTTTACACGCAAGCTCAACATTGGCAATCCTATAGTCGAGCCGTCGAATTTGTGCAGTGATAAATCACCGTGACAGGTAGGTAAATTTCTCACATCGAAGGTCGCCCTGTTCGGATTCGTCAAAGTAAGTGACCACACCCCTCCTGGGGGTAGCGCACTGAGCGCGTTACTGGGGACAAAAAAATAATAAAAGCCGCCGACGCACTGTGAACAGTATTCATAACTTCTTATCTGACTGTAAAGGAAGGTTTATTCTCGTATAGTGTAGCTGCGCCTTATAGACCCTGGCGGGAGTAGGCGGTTACATAACGAAGGAACCGACTACCCCTTTTTTTGTAAGTACCTGTCACGGTGATTTACCACTGCACAAATTCGACGGCTCGACTATAGACTGCCAACGCTCGCTAAAATTCCACTTAAAATGTCTACAGAAGTTAAGTACTTGGGCTTAATAATAGACAGTAAGCTAACGTGGAAATCCCACCTAGACAATAGAGTTAATAAAGCTTGTGTCGCCTTCGGCCAGTGCCGGAGGGCTGTCGGGAAGACTTGGGGTCTGTCTCCCAAGATAGCCCTGCGGGTCTGCACCGCCGTTGTTCGACCAATGCTAACTTACGGTCCACCACTGCACTTAATAGAATACAGAGACTCGCGTGTCTGTTTGTTATAGGTGCGCTGCGATCAACCCCCACCGCAGCCATGGAAATCGTGTTAAATTTACCACTACTCAACCTACATATCCAGTAAGTGGCGTTGGTAACCATGAAAAGACTACAATCAATAGGAACTATGAAGGATGACGACGCTGGCAGCAGTTCAACACTCTGGAGGGAAGCAGTGTTAGACACACCCCTACTCGAGTGTAAGACTGATCACAGACCAGCAAAATATGTTTTCTCAAAAAAGTACCTCACCCACGTCAGTCCCACAGTAGTAGATGTACAAAGAACTTTTAAGATCTACACTGATGGTTCAAAAGGACGAAATGGTGCAGGCGCGGGGGTATTCTCTCACGATCCCCTGATTCGCCTCTCAGAACCTTTAGAGTCCAGCACCACCGTCATAAAAGCGGAACTAACTGCTATTAAACTTGCTGCTGACTGCATTGTTGATTCCTACAAGCGGGGTAAGTGTTTACTATTTTTACAGACAGTAAACAATCTCTTTTGGCTTTAAGCAGAGTTATTATAACGTCTGCAGTAGTTATGGATTGTCACAAAGCACTGGAGGAGGCCGCGAAATACAATTCTGTCAGAATCCAGTGAATTAAAGGGCATTCCGGCTCCAAGGGTAACAACCACGCGGACAGGCTAGCCAAACGTGCTGCCGGTAGAGCGCCCTGTGCACCCGAGCCGATAATTACCCCTCTTTAGCCACTCACATCGAGTTAATAAAGCACATTACCCACAAAAAATTTTTAAACGGGTAGGACCGTACCCCGAGCTGTCATGTCGCCAAGGAATTGTTAAAATATCCTTCAGCCGCAACAGCCCAGTTCTTCGTAGGGCTCGGTAAAAGTGCCCTTCGCACTGCCACAGGTCTCCTCACGGGACACTGTAAAGTAAATAAGCACCTTCAAAACATGAAGCTTGCTGACTCCCCTCTCTGTCGAGCCTGTGAACAGGATGACGAGACGGTTAAACACATTTTGTCTGATTGCCCCTCTCTGAACGACCTCAGAATGAGGACCTTCGGAGAGGAATGGCTCACCACAGATGACATCAGGAATGCACCTAGCCTTTGGTAAATCCTGAGGCTGGTTGATGTGACCAGAGTGTAATGGGAGGATGCACAAAGGGGCCCAATGGGGCCTAAGTATGGCGTGCGGTTTTGCATGCACTCCCCAATCCATACATACATGATGGTTAACAAATGATGGATACAAATTAAGAATTAAATTAAAACAAAACAGAAATTTCTTACTTGCGTGTTTTATTAAATTAGTATCAGTACCGGTTTCGAATTAAAAAATTCATCATCATCTGAATTGTCATAAAGGCAATATAATAATAAAATCACGTGAACACAAGAACATTACAACACGTTAAAAATTTTTAAAAAAAAAAATAGAACAATAAGTAAATAAATAAAATCTACCTTTAAAATTTACATTAAAAGAACAAGATTGACACGAGTTTACACAGCACATAATAACCGGACACAAAACGGTAAACATGGTGTAAACATTTTTAATTCGAAACCGGTACTGATACTAATTTAATAAAACACGCAAATAACAAATTTCTCTTTTGTTTTAATTTAAAACAGTAACTTGCAACATGGATCACTTGGATAAATTAAGAATTGTTTTTCTATTACTATAAGCCAATGTTATATCATATGTATTTAGCAAAGATCTTATGGGCTTGTTGCATTCTCAACAAGATCTTTGCTTGATCCATAAGATCTTTGCTAAAGCAACAGTTTTTGATTGAATAAACAAATTTTCTACAAACGTGTTTTTCTTAAAAACTATTGCTTTGATCAAAGTTTTGTAAGAGACCAATTGATAGATAATTGATCACTTTACACGCGTAGAGAGCAATGGCGTAGACAATATTTTTAAAAAAGTGCTTTTTATAGCAGGTAATGTTTAATTTTAAAGAAACTTTGATCCGCTATATCTCGCCAACGAGGCATTTGCGACCCCATGTATATTAAGACTATTCATCTTAATTTTTCATGTATTATCTACTCTAGAAGTCTGTCAGCGGTTTTTTAAATCAACCTGTATAAAACATCCTTAGTTATTGTAATCTTATTTCGTTTTTTGCTTATAACTTCTTTATTTTTCGTTTTTTCGTGAATCTGAAAAAACATTTTTAAGGCAACTTTTTATGAAGAATGTAATGAGAGAACTAGAAATTTTCTCCGCCGTTTCGTTTTCGTGAAACTATCATCAGGTTTATTTTTTCTTATGAACGCCATATTTGATTTTCACACCAAAAAATAGGATAATTAATTCTGATTTCAATGATATATCACACAATGTATTTCATTTAAAAAAACATTGAATTATTCAAAAAAAGAATAAACCAGATGATAGTTTCACAAAAACGAAACGTCGGAGAATATTTGTAGTTGTGTCATGACATTTTTCATAAAAAGTTGCCTTAAGAATCTTTTTTCAAATTCACGAAGAAACGAATAATAAAGAAGTTATAGGCAAAAAACGAAAAAGTCAATTTTTTGTTTTTCGGCCTTATTTTAAAAACTAAAACGGCTAGATCCAAAAACTTAGTTGAAAAATGATGAGCTCTGAGATACGCAACCTCCATTTAACCATTTCTGTATATCTTATGGTTCTGAGATCCAATGATGGGGGTCGAATTTGAATTACCCTGTATACAGTTCGCGTCAAAAGACCAAGAAAATGCCGCTTTTTATTTATTAACCCAGATATTTTAGCACAAAAAATTGTTTATTAGTTTTAATTTTTCCGGAAATCTGTCCACATTATATTTTCTAATAGAATGAACATCAAGGGGAAAGTTGACCGGCGAAATGATTGATAAATTATGTGCCTATTATGAACTAACGTAACAATAAGAATACGCAACTTAAATATTGCTCAAATAGAATCATGGTGTCGACAGTAGTCCGCATCTGTGCAGTTACAAGATAAATACAAATAAATGTCTTTTCAGACGATTAGGACACATTATCCGTAGATGAATTAATGGCTGTTAAACCTACTAATGAGAATTTGAAAAAGGAAGAATAATTGCACCGATATGTCTCGATGGATTTATTCAAAGTAACAGTGAATATTAGAACAAACTTACACAAGTTCCACAATTTTAGTTTTTATTCTTTAAATATTTTACTATAATAAAGTGAGTACAATTTTGTGATGATTATAAAATCAATTAGAGTTACTCATTTAGAAGCCAAATCGTTTACCGAAGCGCAAAAACACGTGATCAACTGCTTGTCTCTTGATTCCCCGTTCTGAGTGCTTATCCCCAATGGTGTCACCTACAACTAAAAAAAAAATTTCAAAAAGAATTAATTGATTGTGATATTTAATTACTCATATTTTCCATAATATAATAACAAAGTTGTTGGAGTTCACTCGAAGTCTCAGATAACGAATTTGGTTCGCAGTTGATAATGGGTACAGAATCGACCGATTTCGAAATGCAGAGTAACGTCAGGGCAAAAATAATTAAATGATTCATACTAAAAAGTTAACTCCAGTAAAATTAAAAACTTTTTAATCTTTACCTTATTTGAGCTTACTTGAAGAACTTGTGAACTTTAGTTGCTGGATTCTGTGTGCTTTTAGCTTGTGGGGTCTTTTATAGAGGCGTTTTGATGTTTTGCGCATGTTCCTAATTCATTTTTTATCCTTTTTCTCTTCATCTTTTGCAAATACTAAATATTAGAATATGTTAATGTAAGAAGCGTTGGTGCGTGAAATCATAAACATCAAAAGTGTCATCTAAAAGTAAGTGCTAAATATTTGATAAATGAATCTTTAATTCATAATTTTTAGTATCCAATTATAGAAAACGTAAACTTTTTGGTATTCCTTAAATAATATGTTTTGTATTAATTTAAAATTAAGTAATTAAAAAATATATCTTCCGATGCAACAAGGGAGAATTGACCAAAGAATGGGAGCTCGACTGCGAGTGCTTTTTGCGTTGTATGAATTAGAATGTTTTTATGCATTGATACATCCGCTGCGTACCAATTAAGGTTATATATTTCTTCTATATAAAAAAGTAATTTAAGAAAACTTCTGACTTGCATATTAAATATTTATTGGTACCGGTTTCGAATTACTTCAGCATCAAACAATATCTATTTAAGTGGAAACACAATTATCTCATTAAAATATTAATCGTTATAAATAAATAACTTACATCAATTCTATGTAGATGATAATCAAGTTAATTTAAGTATATACATATGAATCAGTAAAAACATTTTAAAATCAAGCACAGTCACAATGAAAGTAAAATATACAAACGAATGAGACATTGCACAACAATGGATTTTTCAATGATACTCTGCAAAATTACATACATAAATATATACAGTGTGTTTCAGTAAGTCGTGGGACAATTTTAATCACAAATACTAGAGTCAAAATGAAGATTCTTGTAAAAATTTTTGGTTTAAATCCTGACCTTCAAAGTTAAAAAATCTTAGAAAGATAAAGTTTGGAAATCAATGCAATGTTTGCGAAACCATTCACATTAAATACAGATGCACGCAATTATGCTTATGATTATTGACAACTGCTGAGAGAAACTACACTAGTGTATGTACAGTAACTGTTGATCTAAAAGAATATAGTTTAGAGAAATTATAACGCTTACCACTTACACCTATATAAATTATACAAATTATATTTTATGCATATAAAAAGTAGTGATGGGCATAATCGAGATATATGAATAATCGATTATTAATCGATTATTCGATTATTAATCGATTATTTTATAATCGAATAAAATAATCAATTATAAAATAATCGAATGAAATTGTCGATTGTTTTTCCATTCGATTATATTTTCATTCGATGATGAAAGTTGAAATAAAATTCTATCTAAAATATTTACAGTATTACTACTTCAGATGGCTGTTTCGGGGATTTACCGAATTCTTTGAAACTCGCTGTAAATATATACACGTTGCACACCCCTACCCGAACTACGTTCGTCGTTCACTCGAGCACAAACTCGCGCAACCAGGTCAAGTGTTTGTGTATTGTTCTGTGTTTATTAAGATTTAATGATATGCCTCGACAAACTGCAAAGAGATCCTTCGTCTGGGATCATTTTGTACGAAGAGGAGATATCTCAATGTGTAGTGAATGTAAGCGAGAATTTAAATTCTTTGGCAATACTACAAATTTAAGTGAACACCTAAAACGAAAGCACCCAGCCTTATTATTACAAAAATCTAAACCTTCTCAAGATACATCATGCGAAGAAATTCGAGGTACACTCCCGTCAACTTCTACAACTGAAACTTCCTCACAACATTCTATAATACACCCACCGCCTTCCAAACGTAAACGTCAACTTGCTCTTTACGGAAAAACACAAACATATAGTATTTCAGAAAATGAGCAAACCGAAATAGATCAAAGTTTAGTTGAAATGATAGTTTCTGATTTTCAGCCCTTATCCATTGTTGAAAATAAGGGGTTCATGAAATATACAAATAAACTTAATCCGCATTACGACTTACCAAGTCGAAAAAAAATTACAACTTCCCTGATACCAAATATATATACAGCGACGTTGAGTAAGGTAAAAAATGAGTTGAATTTGTCGTCAAATTTGTCTATAACAACAGATATATGGACATCATCATCTACGAAAGCATTTTTGGCAGTTACTGCTCATTATATAAACGGAAGCCTAGTTACTACTTAGTTACCTACTGGAAACAAAACAATTGGTTGATCGTCATTCAGCAGGAAATGTTGCCAGCGCACTTCGCGAAGTTTTTGAAAGTTGGGATATCTTTGAAAAAGTTCACTGTATTGTAACAGATAACGTTTCAAATATGAGAAACGCTATCACTGTTCATCTCAATAAGACTCACCAACCCTGCATAGCACATACGCTGAACCTATGTACCATGGACACTTTCAAACATGCAGATCTACAGCAATTGCTCGAGAAATGCAAAAATATTGTGGGACACTTTAAAAGAAGCACTGTAGCATCTGGTGAACTGGCCAAAATGCACGATCAAATGAAACTTCCTCTGCTAAAAGTGAAACAGGACGTTTCAACAAGATGGAATTCTTGCTTGGCGATGATGCAAAGATTAGAGGAATTAAAAGTTCCGTTGTCAGCAGCAATGTCCAATCTTCCCGGATCACCTTCACTTTTGTCATCGGAAGACTGGGCACTAATTAAAGACTGCATATGTATTTTAAAACCTATTGAAGCTATGACTTCCGAGTTGTCGGGAGAAAAATATATAACGTTGTCCATTATCATCCCCTTAATTCGTGGTGTCCAACACGCTGTTAAGAATGCACAACCAATAACTTCCACGGGAAAGATATTGCAAACTAATTTTCATGATAT